ATTATGATCAACTTTCTAATTATGATCATACTGGCTTACTGATTGAGATGAGATTCAGTAGATTTTTGATGGAGCTGGCCCAAGATTTTCTTTATCTCTACCTCTAGAGAGAATATATCATAATCATGAGCATCACTGATTTTATCCTCTTTAAGAGTCATGTCTGTCTCTAAGAGTGTTTGGTGTTGAAACTATTTTAGTTTTTCTCAGAAACCCTGAAGTCCTCTAAGACTCAATACAAATTCAGCCATAAATTTCAATTTTTTTAAATTAACATTTTTATTACCTGTACGAGTTGACAGAAGAGTTACTATTCAACAAACTATTTTATAAGTATAATGCATCTTGATCAGTTTACTTTTTTGTTATTATAAAGATAAGGTACAGAGGAATTAAAATTACATGAATCAAGTAATGAGTATATTTTCTTTCATAAAGTATCTTTCCTTCCCTCATTTTCTCTCAGTCCCTTCCATCTGTTCACTCTCATCACTTAGCTACATTGCTGCACTTTTTAACTCTTTTCCTTCAATTCTTTGCTTTCCCTCCAACCTACTGAATATACCATATTTAAAGAAAGCTGGGCGCCAGTGGCTCACGCCTGTAATCCTAGCTACTCAGGAGGCTGAGATCTGAGGATCGAGGTTCAAAGCCAGCCCAGGCAGGAGACTCTTATCTCCAATAAACCACTAGAAAACGAAGTGGTGCTGTGGCTCAAGTGGTAGAGTGCTTGCCTTGAGCTGAAGAGCTGAGGGAGAGTGCCCAAGCCCAGAGTTCAAAAAAGAAGAAGAAACAAAAAGAAGACAGAATCATCAACAACAAAATAAAACAAAAACAAAAAAGATACACATAGGTAATTTTACATAAAATATAAAGAAGCATATAAACATTATGCCCTTGTGTTTTTCTCCTAAGAGTATCCACTTCTGGTATCACTGTATTTATGTAGAGTCCTATATACTTTATTGTAATTCCAGTTTAGAACTATTTTCTAAATATGTGCTGTTTGTCTCTTTAATTTATTTTCTTTTTTTTTGGTCCAGTCATGGGGCCTGAACTCTCTGGACCTGGGCACTGTCCCTCAACTCTTCAGCTCAAGGCTCTACCACTTGAGCCACAGCACCACTTCTGGCTTTTTTCTTTTTGCTTATGTGGTGCTGAGGAATCGAACCCAGGGCCTCATGCATGCAAGGCAAGCGCTCTACCACTGAGCCCCCTTCCCAGCCCTGTCTCTTTGATTTCTAAACATCTAATTTCTATGCATCTGCTGTTTGTATCCCTAAGCTTGGCTTACCTCATTTAACATGATTGTTTTCTAGTTTCCATTTCCCTGTAAATGATATTATTTTATTCTTTCTAATGACTGTAGGAAATTCCTTTGTTTATGGCTACCACTCATTTATTGCAGGGCATCTAGGCTGTTTCCACAACTTGGCTATTGTGAATAGTGCAGTAATGAACATGTATGTACATGTTTATGGTATTCTGGCTCATGATGTTCAGCATAGATGCCCAGTATGGCTGGCTGGGATGAGCTATGTATTTTTTGAAGTACCTCTAGCCTGCTGTCCAGAATGATTGTACAAGTTTATATTCCCACCAACAGTGCAGTAAAATTCCTTTTTCACCATATTCCCACCAGCATTTTTTGTTGGAATTCACCATGTTGACCTATCTAACTGGGATAATGGATTTTCATTTCCTTTAGGGCCAGGGATGATGAACATTTACTCATGTATTTCTTAGCCATTTTTACCTCTTCTTCTGAGAAGTCTTTCTCTTCTTAGTTTGCTGGTCCATTTAGTGATTGGTTTATTAGATTTAGAGGAGTTAGTTTCCTAGGCTCATTGTATATATTAGATATTAGGCCTTTGTCTAATATAAAGATCTCCCACTCTGTTGGCTATCTTTTTAGTTAGGTAACTATGTCCTCAGCTATGCAGAAACATATTTTGAGATTTGACATGTCCCACTTGCTTGTCCAACTTCTTTCTTATCTGTTGTACCCATAGGTTCTTTTCAGGAAGCTTTCACTATACCTATACTATGTTCTAGTTTCTTCAACTCTCCTGCAGTAATTGAGTTCTTTGTTACACTTAGAATTTATATTACTGCATGGTGTCAAGAGCCCACCTTTTGGCTTCCACATTTCAAACACTACTCTTGTGACATTCCTTTTGTTGGACTGTGAATTTTTCTAAGGAATTACATCATTTGAAATTTTCACCTGTATATACCATACTGTGCTAATACATATGTATACAACAAATACAACTCCATAATGTTTACTTATTATACATTTATAAGTAAATTTCAGCTTCCACATAGGAAGTATGGAATTTAGGCCCAGATCTATCCATTTTTTTGCAAATGACATACATCACTCTCCCTAATGGACGATAAAATTCCATTATATATACATATATGTATATGTATATATATATTTATGTGTGTATATACACACATATTTATAGCACATGAATATATGTATATATACTAATATATGAATATATCACATTTTCTTGACTTAGCTCTAACTTCTTCAGTTCTCCATTTTAGATTTGGCTCCACTCTCACAGTATCACATATCATCATTCTCTCAGAGTTGCCCTCAAGTACTCTGAACCTGACTTTTTTTTTGTCGGTTATGGGGCTTGAACTCTGGGTCTGGGCGCTGTCCCTCAGCTCTTCACATCAAGGTGAGCCTTCTACCACTTGAGCTACAGCGCCACTTCCGGTTTTCTAGTGGTTTATTGGAGATAGGAACCTCATGGTCTTTCCTGCCTGGGCTGGCTTTGAACAGTGCTCCTTAGATCTCAGCCTCCTGAGTAGCTAGGATTATAGGCATGAGCCACTGGCGCCTGGCTTGAACCTGCTTTCTTATAGGTGTTGGAATTCTATTGATGGCACCAAGGAGATTTATACTTTGGCCATTGGAGCCATGACTATAGTAGCATTTGCATTGCCAATAAAACTAACCTAAAAAAACACACATTTTCTACTTGGAAAATGTGGATCTCTCTTTTGGAGAGAATTCTATCCTAATAACAAAAAAATTCATTTCTATATCTTTGAACTATAATCTTATAGACTCCTGAGATTCCTGGAGATTCAGCTATCAATGGTACTGATGCTAATCTCTTTGGCTGGGTACTAAAGAGATACTTTTGATACCTCTTTTTCTGATACCTCTTTTTCTGACCAAATTTTCCATATCTATTTGCTCTATTTCTCTTTGCTGCTGATTCTTCAGTGTAGTTTTTTAAAAGCAGTAAGTAGTACTGTTGTTACTGCCTAAATGCTCTGCTGCTTTGAAACAATTTCTTTTACCAAATAAATACCCTGTCACCTTTAATTATTTATTATTTGTTTCCTTTGGCAATACTTTGGCTTGAATTCTAGTGTTTTAATGTGCTTCAATTTGATGTCTCCAGTCTTTCTTGCTTTAATTTTTCAGCTAGGATTTTTGTTTCATTTGTTTCTGCTTGCTTTTGTTGCGCTTTAGAAAGCAATCCTCCTAACTATGTCTTCTGTATACTGGGATTATACACTTTTTTGGAGTTACAGTATTCTTGATTTTTGCCTATACTGAGCTCAAACCATAAGCCTTCCTGACATATCTGAGACCATAAATATACACTACAACACTTAGTTTAATGTATCTCCTTCAAGTTATACTCTCACAAAAATATCATGGAATAGACAAAATGCCTTCAGGTTCTTTACTTTGATGAAGCATTTGGGTTACTTGTGGTTTGATTCCCGAAAGTCCTCATTTCCTTCTAAATTTTCAAACACATTTTTCTTTCAATATTTTGGTCAGCATCCTGGACTATTACCAAAATCACCTGTCAAAATCTTCTTACATCATTTTACCTTTCTCTAGGCTCTCCAAACCTAAATTTCTAAAATTTCTAAATTTTTCCAACTTCTCTGAATTCCTCTTACAAACCCATTCTAAACTGCTTCACATTATCACTATAGTGAATGGCACTGTCTTTTACAACTACTACCAATTTTTCTCATTACCTTTCTAGTACTCTGAAGTTGCTCCTTTAAATTATGGGCTAGGAATAAAATTCAGAAGTAAAACACCTGGCTAAACTGCACAAAGCCCTGGGTTTGATATCTAGTACCACCAAAAAAAACGCCAAGAAAAACATAAAAGGAGGGAGGGTGATATAGAAGGAATATTATTTAGCAGTAGCTTTATATTTGTAGCCTAACAAATTTTGGGGGAAATGCTCTCTATTAATAGTCATTAACTGATGACATTGTATTTAGAATGTGTATCTATTTGAGAGGTCTGGGGAAAAGTAGAAATTCAATAAACTATTCCTAAAAATATTCTTAGAGATTTTTTCCTTTTGAAGATTGTTGCTAATTGCTCAGCATTTCAAGTTGAAGCATAACTTTAAAAATGTTAAGAAATGCACTTTATTTTGGGAGGTGATGGTATACCTGTAATTCTAGCTACTCAGGATTGCAGTTTGAAGGTGGCCTAGACAGAAAAGTCTGTAAGATTCTGATCTCCAATTAATTAGCAGAAAGCTATAAGTAGAAATGTAGTTCAAGTGGTAGTGCATCAGCCTTGAGGAAAAACCAGCATAACAAGATGTGAGGTCCTCAAAGCTTCAGGGATAGAATGCACAGAAAAAGCAATTTATTTTGTATATTAAACTTAATATGAATTGGTGATTGGTTTATGTTATTTGTGTTCGTAACTGTCAGTGACTGAAAATATACTTTTTCATTTTAATATATAGGTATATTTTTCTGAAAATCAAAATGTACACATCAGGATTTACTAATGTTCTTAGCTTACTCTCAAAATATGCCCTCTTATAATGACAATATTTGAAGATATTGTATATATATATTTTTAATGGCAATGCTTTTATTTATCATTTTAATCTTTTAGTCCTTAGTGTTTATGCATTCTGAGTTTGTACAATGGGATACTTAATAGGTATACCAATTTTATTTCTTTCCTGTTTTAGGGTCTTCATAAAGGTCAAAGTTCATATCTGACAGGATTTAATAATGAACAACCTTTATTTTCCACTGAGTCCAACAAATATCTTCAGACATCTAAGATTGTGAAGAACCAGAATGGACATCACTCTCTTCCAGCAACACAAGAGGATGTTCTTAATCATCTCTCCTTGCACTCTCATATTGCTACCTCAGGTGAACAAAAAGACATTGCCTTAGTCAAAGAGAGCAAGCCTTCAAGAAAAAGATCCTTGGGGTCTGAAACAAGTATGCATCCTGGAAACACATCAAATAGTTGTCCTGGTATCAAGAGACTTTCTAATTATGTCCATCAGATGACAGGAGTTGCTGGTCCTAACTGTGGAGATTTTGTTTCACCAAATTTAGCAATTGAAGATAAAAATCATCAGCTATCTTCCTTGTTTGCTAAAAATGCCAATGACAATATGGATACTGGAACTTGTGACAAAGTCAGTAATTGTTATCCAGCTATTCATATAAAGACTGATAATTATGTTTTCTCTTCACCCTCTTCATCCGTTTCTATAGCAACATCTCCAATGTCCACTGACCAGACTAATATACACACTGTTACCAACTTCAGCAGTCCTCCTAATGGGTTACCCATAATTAATGGAGAAGAACTAGAGAATTCACAGACGTCTATAAATGTTGATCTGCCTAGAGTTAATCATAAATCACATCCTCAGATACCATCAATGTCTGTGTCTATATATTCCAATTCAGCAGAAGTTCTGAAGGCATGCAGGTAGTATGGAAAAAATTCATAGAAAATGAAAATGATTGATTACTGTCAGTTCAGAAGAGTTGAAATATGATTTTGATCTGTTTTTTAAAAAATAAAGCAAATGGACACCAGTTGATCAAATCTGCTAATCTTGGCTATTCAGGAAGCTAAGATCTGAGGATTATGGTTTATAACCAGTTTAGGCAAGAAAGCCTGTCAGACTTTTATCCCAGTTAACCAGCAAAATGCTGGAACTAGAGGTCTAGATCAACTAAGTAGAGTGCTAAGCAAAAACAGAGGAAGGATAAAAAACTCTGTGTTCAAGGGAATGGGAGCGTAGGGGAGGGATAGGGAGAGACAGAGGCAATGGAAATACATTTCAGCTCTTTCAAAGTGTGAAAATCCAGGTGCTGGTTGCTCACCCCCATAATTACCTACTCATAAGGCTGAGATCTGAAGATTGGAGTTTGAAGCAAGCTTGGGCAGAAAGCTTTGTGACACTTTGATCTCTAAGTAACAAGCAAAAGCCAGAAGTGGAGTGGTAAAGTGTCAGTCAGCCTCATAGTAAAAGAGAGAGAGAATTAGACCCTAAATTCAAGTCCAAGAATTGGCATAAAAATAAGGTAAAGTGTCCAAAGAATAAAAATGAAAAAGAACATCAAACAAAAACCCAAACACACTGTGTGTGGGGGATGGTGAGAGTAGTACTTGAAAGGATCTTGTACATGCTAGGCAGGACCTCTACCACTGGAACCATGCCTCTAGCCCTCATGACTATAATAGGTTCTTTTACTGCATTTGTATCATGTTGAAAATAAACCTTTCAGATTATTATAATTTTTTATGTTGTTCCTTGGGCTTGAACACTGGGTCCGTGTGCTATCTTTGAGCTTTATTTTTTGCTTAATTCAGGTACTCTTAAGCCACAGATCCACTTTTGTTTTTTTGCTGTTTATTGGGAAAGAGTCTTAAAATCTTCCCTGTCCAAACCATAATCCTCAAATCTCAGCCTCCTAAGTATGTAAGATTTCAGGCCTGAGGCAACAATACCTGAACCTAACAGGTTTTGGAAGATTTATTTTACAAGATTTTTAAAGATAAGAGTATGGCGTAACTGATAAAGCTTCTTGCCTAGGAGACATGAAGTTCTGGAATCAATACCCCGTATTACTTGGTGGCAATATCTTTTCAATTATTTAAATATCTTTTAATTACTTATTTTCTACTACTGAGTTTGAACTCATTATTGCTTGACTTTTTTCCCAAGGTACTTTACCACATAAGCTAGAACTCTGTTTCTGCCTATTTGCTGATTAATCAACTTTGCCTAAGCCCTGCATAGTAGGCACCACCTGTGCCTACCTTGTTTTGTTTTGTTGGTTTTTTTTGGGTCCGGTCATGGGGCCTGAACTCTGGGCCTGGGCGCTGTCCCTCAGCTCTTCAGCTCAAGGCTAGCACTCTACCACTTGAGCCACAGCACCACTTCTGGTTTTTTTCTTTTTTCTTATGTGATGCTGAGGAATCGAACCCAGGGCCTCATGCATGCAAGGCAAGCGCTCTACCACTGAGCCACCTTCCCAGCTCCCCCACCTTGTTTTAATTGTTGTATTATCCATTTATTTTTACTGTTTTGTGCCAGACCTGGAGCTTTTAACTCAGGTCATGGGCACTGTCCCTCTTTTTAATTAATTAATTTTTTTGCCTGCAAGTATTATTATTTTTTCTCTGCAGGAATCATTTCTGTGAATGAATCTTTCACTTTGCCTCTAGAAAAGAGACACCATTAAAAAAAAAGGGAAAAACAGATAACAATGAAAAAAAGGACTGTGTCAGCAAAAGGGAGAGTGGGGAAAGAAGTGAATCTCAAAGACTAGGTTACAAAGTTGAGGATTATTCTATTGCAGCAAAGAACCAGATGATAGATAGATAGTTTTAGCAGCTTCATCAGTTGGTAAAGGAACTTGTTCAGAGTACAAGTCTTTAAGAATTTAGGAAAAGAAACAAAATTTATTAATTTTCCTAGTTAAGAAATATTATGGAGGCAGATTAAATTGTTAAAGATTTTGTGGACAGAATGTCATTCATTTCTGTAATCATTGAAGTAGGGAGTTGGATTAGCTTATTTAAACAAAATTTAAAATTAACTTTTACATATTTTTTTTTTCAAAGTAAGCAGCATAGTGAGATTATTTTATTTTATTTTATTTTTTGGTCGGTTGTGGGGCTTGAACTCTGGGCTTAGGCGCTGTCCCTGAGTTCTTCAGCTCAAGACGAGCGCTCTACTGCTTGAGCCACAGTGCCACTTCCGGTTTTCTGATAGTTAACTGAAGATAAGAGTCTTACAGACTTTCCTGCCCAGGTTGGCTTTGAACCTCAATCCTCAGATCTCAGCTTCCTGAGTAGCTAGAATCACAGACGTAAGACACTGATGCCCCGCTGAGATTATTTTAAAAAATATGTAGTGATGGACTTAACTATACCTCTTTTCTATACCTCTTCACTCTCCCCCCACATCCTGACCTTGCTTTAGCTTCAATCATTTTTATTTTTAGTCAAAGCAGGTTTGATCAACTCTCTTAAAGCTATTCTAAAGATAACTTTCTCACCATTAGAGAAAGGAAAAGAAAAGAGTTTCTACCTGGGAAATATTAATTATTTGGGGAATCTTTTTGTTGTTGTTGTTGTTGTTGTTGTTTGTAGGGCTTGAACTCTGGACTTGGGCACTGTCACTGCACTCTTCAGTTCAAGGCATGCGCTCTTTCACGTGAGCCACAGTGCCACTTATGGTTTTCGAGTGGTTTATTGGAGATAAGAGTCTCATGGACTTTCCTGCTCAGGCTGGCTTTGAAGTGTGATCTTCAGATCTCAACCTCCTGAGCAGCTAGGATTACAGGCCACCAGTGTCCAGATTGGGAATCATTTTTATTACTGTCAGTTTTTTGTTTTGTTTTCAAGTGAATTATTATTACATTGCCAGGTTTGAATCCCTGACCTCAAGTGATCCACTGACATCAGCATCCTGAATAGCTGGCACTTGTATGTGTTTATCACCATGCTAGCTTCTAGTCAGTGATTTCTAATCTCTTTGTTCTTCGGTGGTCTTGGTTGTAGTTATTACATTCTTTTTTTGGGGGGTGGGGCCTTCTGGTTGTGGGGCCTGAACTCTGGGCCTGGGCGCTGTCCTTCAGCTCTAAGCTCAAGGCAAGCGCTCTACCATTTGAGCCACAGCACCACTTCCAGCTTTTTTCTTTTTGCTTATGTGGTGTTGAGGAATCAAACCCAGGACCTCATGCATGCAAGGCAAGCACTCTACCACTGAGCCACCTTCCCAGCCCCACATTCTTTTTCTTATAGACTAACATATTGATTTTGGCTTGGTTGTGGTGGCTCATACCTTAAATTGTAGCTATTCAGCATATTGCAATATGAGGATTGCAGTTTGAAGCAAACGTGGGCAGAAAGTCCATGAGACTCTTCAATTAATCATTAAAAGCTAGAAGTAACATTTGGCTTAAGTGGGAGAGTGCAGTTTTTGTGTATGAAAGTCAAATCTGAGTGGGAGGTTTTGAGTTGCTTTGGTACTGGCATAAAAAAAAGAATAATTTTAGAAAGAGATGATTGGATCAGTAACAGCATCCTTGTTCTAGCCTATCCTTTACTTTTTGTTGATGTCTACATTTTTTAATCAGTTCATTTCCAGTAAAAATTTTCATTTTTTTTTCATTTTGAAAATTTTGAGATAGAGCCAGGAACTTGTGGTTCATAAGTGTAATTCTCGCTACCCAAGAGGCTGAGATTTGATATGGTTGCTCAGACCCAGCCTGGATAGTAAAGTCAATGAGACTGGTATTAACTACCAGGAAATCTCAAGTAGCACCGTGGCTTAAAGTGGCAGAGCTGTAGCCTTCAGCAAAAGAGCTCAAGGACAGCACCAGGCCCCTCCCCATTTCTCCCCAAAAGAACAAAACTGAGATAGTAAAACTAGAGACCTTACAGAGATACATCTTGTTCTCTCTTAGTTGCTCTGTCTTGTCTGTTATGTCTCTGTATATGCATTTGGGGTTGATCTCAGGACCTCAAGCTTACTATGGACAGCTGTAACCCTTGAGCCTTTAGTCCTTTTGCCTTTTTAATTGTGTATTTATTTATTTATTTATTTTCATAGTAATGTCCTTGCATTATGATCCACCTACTTCCATCCCCCAAATAACTAGAATTATGGACTTGTGCCACTATGCCTGGCCAGAGGCACATTTCTGTTGTTTGCAATTTCTTCTTAGTCTGAGTGCTTATGTTAAAAGAAAATCATGTATCTTTATATCTTGTTTCCTTTTGTAAATCTTTATGTCTTAAAAATATAACATCTATTAGACTCATGCATTAAAATTACTAGGTGATTCCTCTGCTGGGAGAACATCACAGATTGCATAAATAAAATAGTGCATAACTTCACTAGACAAGAAGCTATACCTTCATAAGGCAAATTCACTATGAAACATCGTCTTCTACATGGTTTATTATTTATGAAACACATTAATTCAACCTCTAACAGTCTTGCTAAAAGTAATTTTTTAAAAAAAGTACAGTGAAGCTGGGCACTGGTGGCTCACGCCTGTAAATCCTAGCTACTCAGGAGGCTGAGATCTGAGGATCACGGTTCAAAGCCAGCCCAGGCAGGAGAGACTGTGAGACTCCTATCTCCAATAAACCACCAGAAAACTGGAAGTGGCGCTGTAGCTCAAGTGGTAGAGCGCTTGCCTTGAGCTGAAGAGCTGAGGGACAGCGCCCAGGCCCAGAGTTCAAGCCCCATGACCGACAAAAAAAAAAAGTACAGTGACTGTTACAATTCAGCACTGATGTTAGTTTTTTATATGTAGAAAGTATGACTGAGGATTGTGCTTGTCCTACTGAGTTACTTGAATTATTTCCATCAGCCAGGTTTTTTCAGTTTATTAAAAAAAAAAAAAAAAGACTAGATGCCATGTTTCATGAGTATGATCCTAGCTATTCAGGAAGATCTCAGTTCAAGACACCTTGTGCAAAATTTTTGGGAGACTTTCAGCAGAAAAGGCTAGATGTTGTTGGTTGTTTCAGTCAGCCAAGCTTGGACAAGAATTGTTATTTATGAAAACTGTGGTTCAAGTCAGTTTGGACATAAAAGTTGAAACATTATTTCAAAATAAATATATTAAAAAGGGCTGGCTGTGACTTGGTAGAGTGCCTGTATAGAAAGTACTAAGCTCAGAGTTCAGTGGTTTCTACCAAAGAAAAAACAACAGTTATGTGTAATATACAAATTAGGATAATTTACAAAGTAGTATACTTTACAAATTCCTACATTTAAGTTTTAAAGGGTAAAGTGTTTTAAAACATTGTTCTTAATGCTTTCTAAAGAGCTATTGAGGGGCTGGGAAGGTGGCTCAGTGGTAGAGCGCTTGCCTTGGTGCCTGAGGCCCTGGGTTCGATTCCTCAGCACCATATAAGAAAAAAGCTGGAAATGGTGTTGTGGCTCAAGTGGTAGAGTGCTAACCTTGAGCTGAAGAGCTGAGGGACAGCACCCAGGCCCAGAGTTTAGGCCCCACGACTGGATCCCTCTCCCCCCACACCACCCCCCAAAAAAAGGGGCGCACTCTATTATCATTTGAGCCACAGTACCACTTCCAGTTTTCTGGTGGTTAACTGGAGATAAGAGTTTCATGGACTACTTTCCTGTCCAGACTGGCTTTGAACTGCAGTCCTCAGATACCAGCCTCCTGAGTAGCTAGGATTACAGGTGTGAGCCACTGGTGCCCAGCTAGAATACTATTCTTATAAGTTAAATTGAATTTTTAACTTCGGTAGATTTTTACACTTTTTAAATTAAAAAAGTCAGTAATTTTAAGCTTTGTTTATAGCTTGAAAGTCTGCAATAAATTATTGTAGTTAAAGAATGTTAAACACAGTTAAAGGATATTTAATAGAAAATATCAAGTTTGTTTATATTTCATTTTAATACTTAGTTTCCATAAACAATACAACACATAAAAAACCTTACTTGAGCTTTTCTGGTATAGCAAAATAAAATAGATAACTTCAAATTATTGTTCTTTGATTTGAAATTAAAATATAGTTTCTTTTGAAGGAAACACCATTACTGCTAAACTTTTGTTCTCTAAAATGGTTTCAGATTCTTGTATGGAATTTTAATCCTCTATCTTTGATATGTAATATATTAGTTACTTTTGAAATTTAAGAATTAGGTAGAACAAGTAATTTTTAAAGTTTTTTTTTAAAGGCTTCTGAATTCACATATTAATGATTTAGTAAGGAATATTTAACAAAGAAAAATTAGGGCTTTATGTAATTTTAAATAATTTAATGTGAGGTAAAAAGTTTACAATTTAGCAAATACAGTACTCCACTAAATGGAAAATAAATAAATGTATCTGGGTGCTAGTGGCTTATAACTGTAACCTCAGGAGTTACAGGAGGCTGAGATCTGAGGATTGAGGTTTGAAGCTAGCCCACGCAGGAAAGTCCATGAGACTTTTATCTCCAATTAAGCACCTAAAAAGTGGCAAGTGGAACTATCCCTCAAAGTGGTAGACTCGTGTACAAAAGCTCAAGGATGACATCCAAGCCCTGACCTGTAGATCCATGGCCCAGATCCATAAAAAAAAAGAAACGCAAAAAACATTTTAATGCTTGTCTAAATATGCAATTCAGCTGATGCCAAGAGCATTTGGTCTTCCCATATTTTAGTGTTCAAATTGAGTACAACTTTTTGTGTATATTTTTTATTTTGTGAAAATGTCTCCTCCCAACCCCCCCAAAAATCTAAGAATGCCTTTGTAGCAAGCCATAGTGTATTTAGATTTTCTACATTTAAATGATAAAGTAAAAATTTGAAATTTATTGAAAAAGGTGTATGTTTAGTGAAAATTGGTCACTGTTCTTGGAAAAGTGAATCAAACATGTATAATATAGCTAACTTCTGTGCACCCTGAACATTTGTGATTTCAATTTCAATTTCATTTTAACTATACCGTCAATGCCATATGTCTATTCTATTTATAAATTACTGTTTTTGTAAGTTTTGGAGTCTTAAATGACAGTGAAGTAATTACATAGAAAATAAATTTTGAGAAGACAGAAACAGATTTTCTGGATTCGGGAGTGACTAAAATGTATTTGGGAATAATTACAACATGTAATGTGGGGAAAGCAATATTCAGTGATATTGATATTTAAGCCTTTTTGGTAAATTCAATTTTTTAATTTTTTTAATTCAATTTTCTTTTCATTAAAAAAGTAGGTCTGTATTCCTAGCTACTTATGAGACAGGTCCTGCCCACAGTTTGAGGTCTGCCCAGTAGGAAAGTTTATAAGACTATTATCTCCAATTAACTACCAGAAAAGCTGGAAGTAGAGTTGTGACACAAGTGGTAGAACAATTTTGCGTTGTGCAAAAAACTTCAGGGATGCATTCCAACAACAACAATAATAAATAATAATATTATATATCTGATAACCTTTATTCTGCTCCCTTTTTTCTTTTTAAAAAGGAACGTAGGTAAAAATGGTTTGTCTAATAGTCATATTTTGTTGGATAAATGTCCGCCTCCAAGACCACCAACTTCACCATACCCTCCCTTGCCAAAGGAGAAGCTGAATCCACCCACACCTAGCATTTATGTGAGTCACTGTTGAATAACTAGAAAATTGTTTGAATTTGTTTTACTTTAGAAGATACACAAACATTTAAATTATTGTTATTTGCCCTTTGGGGGAATAATTACTTTCTTTATTTTTTTCAGAAATGCATGTTGGTATTCCATGTCTGAAAAATGAGTGTTCAGGGTAGCCTAACACAAAATAAGATAATTTATTGGCTATGCTCTGACCATAAAATTTGTTGGCTAGTACTATATTAAATACATTTTGTGAAGCACATATTTTAAATTTCATTCTAAGTATTTCCTTAGATTATGTGAGCAACAAAATTATTTGTTCTATTGTCAGATTTTTTAAAATGTGCTTCTGAATCTACTACTTGATAGTTTTATGGTCCTTAAAATTTCATTAATTGTCTGTAATCCTAGCTGCTCCGATTCTGAGACCTAAGGATTGCAGTTGGAAGCCAGCTTGGGTGGGAAAAAGTCTGTGAGACTCTAATCTCCACTTAATTCACAGAAAAAAACAGAAGTGGTAGTGTGGCTCAAGTGATAGAGAGCTAGACATGAGCAAATGGAACTCAGGGTAAGAGCCCAGGCCTGGAGTTCAAACCTCAGAACTAGCAAAAAATAAAACAAAAAATTAAAAAAACATTAATTAGAATTGTCAACTTTGCTTTTTTGCAAGATATTTTATGTAGAAAGTTGAAATTAGTTTATATCTGCTAATTTTTACATTCTCCTGAAATTTTGTACCAGTCCATAATTTATTCCCTTTTGAGGTATAAATGAAAAAAAATGTCCTACATTAGAAATAAAGATCAAGCTAGAACAGTAATTTATACTTGTAATTTGCTACTTAAGACAATGAGTAATTAGTTGGAAGCCAGTTCAGGCAGGAAAGTTTGCTATACTCTCATCTCCAAAATAAAATTGCAAAATACAGGGTGGAGACATGACTCAGTAAGCAATCATGAGGCCCTGAATTCACAAGGCTTAAAAGAAAAAGTTGTTTGTCTAGTAAAGTGCCTTTGAGTTACCTGTAACTTAGTCAATCCTGAAAGGGGAGATCAGGAGGACCAGCTTGTAGAAAAAAATATTTGTTATCTAATATGTGGGAGTGGTACTGTGACCCTGCCTCAGCAGCTTCCCAAAAGGCTGAAGATTACATCTCCACCCGTTCTATCTCTATAAGAAAGGCTAGGCGTGGATGTGCAGGCGTGATCCCACCTCCCTGGGGATTTAAATAGGAAGATCTACTTCCACAGCTCTACTTCCAGCTTTTTGGAAGTTAATTGGAGATAAGAGTCTCACAAACTTTCTTGCTGCTTGTACTAGCTTTGAAAGGTAAGCCTCAGTTCTCAGCCTCTTGAGTAGCTAGGGTATAGTCATAAGCAATCAGTGCCTGCGCAAACACCATTTTAATTCCACTTGCCATTAAACTAATATTTAAATACTTGGCAAAGATGTAGTGTTTAGAATGAACTTGTATTTATAAGAAGGTTTTTAAGATTGACTCTTTTTCTGCATAATTATTCTGCTCCTTTCTCCAGTTAAAATTTGTTGATGCTTTTATAAAATGGAAGTAGAATACAGATAAAATAAATACTGAGGAAATAAGTATATAATTGAGATTATACTTTAACAACATTAGTTTTTAAAGTATATTTTGATTTTAAAATTTAATATTCTTTCTCATACTTATTGTAGAATTACTAGAGGTATACTTGAAAAGTACTTGAGAATCTTGAGTCGCTATAATAACTCATACTGTTTTAGGACTCATCTACACCACAGTATTTATAATTAAGATGCATGTGCATTTTAAACTGCCAGACTCATGAAAATATGATACTGCCTTGCAGTATAATATACACGGTCATTTTCTCTGAGATCTAACAAATATTTTAACTTTACAGTTGGAAAATAAGCGTGATGCTTTCTTTCCTCCATTACATCAATTTTGTACAAATCCAAAAAACCCTGTTACAGTAATTCGTGGTCTTGCTGGAGTTCTTAAATTAGGTAAGATTTTTAAGTATTTTAAACATTTCTTTTACTACCATTAAACTTAGAACATCAGTAGAAACTCTGAAATACTTTTAGCATTTAAAATGCTTTAAATTTAGCCTTATCACGGTTTTTCTGTCTTTTTTTTTTTTCTTTTGCGATTTTTTTGTCTTTATCCTTATCTTAACCCTTTATCTCCATAAGAATATTTCCATTCATCTGTGACTCTTTATTCCATATCTATATCTGCCTCTTATTAAAACCTTGAAAGTTTTTATAGCATTTTTAGAGCACTTTGTTTTAACTGTAAATCTTATGTTTAAGAATGAACATCTGCAAAATGATGTGAGATTAGTTTTTGGCAATTTCTTTGTTGGATTTTTTACTTCAATTTTAGATACTACATAATAAATACTTAGTCATACAATAGAAAAATTTTGAATATGAAATATGCACAGTATTTATCCTGGTATAAACACCACAGCCTGCTTGTTACACTTGTCATCAATGGCAAAATACAAGAACTGCTTTGCAAATCTTGTACTAAATGACTGGAGCTACTTTACAAGAAGCTGACTACAAAATTGAAGTTTTAAGAACTTTGAAATTTTTATTGTATCTCTTTATTATATTTTATTTTTTAACAACATTTATATATTTATTAAGATCTTGGACTTTTCTCTACCAAAACTTTGGTAGAAGTTAACAATGAACATATGGTAGAGGTGAGAACACAATTACTGCAACCAGCAGAAGAAAACTGGAATCCCACTGGAACAAAGAAAATTTGGCGTTATGAAAGTAATAGCTCACACACTACAATTGCTAAGTATGCACAGTACCAAGCCTCCTCCTTCCAAGAATCATTGCGGGTAAGTTTGTTCTATATTAAAACTGAAGAGGAGAGTATGTTTTAACTTTTATAATTACTAGCTTGGTATATCTTTTATGCATTTAAACTATACATGAAGTAATAACTGTTCAAGATGTGATATGCACATAAATGGACATGTTAAATTAAAACCTCTTTGTATAAGTATTTGAAAATAATAATAAGGGCTAGGAAGGTGGCTGAGTGATAGAGCGCTTGCCTTGCATGCATGAGGCTCTGGGTTCGATTCCTCAGCACCACATAAGCAAAAAGAAAAAAAACCGGAACTGGCGCTGTGGCTCAAGTGGTAGAGTGCTAGCCTTGAGCTGAAGAGCTGAGGGACAGCGCGCCCAGGCCCAGAGTTCAGGCCCCATGACCGACCCCCCTCCACCCCCCCAAGAAAGAAAGAAAATAAAAATAAAACAAAACAAGAAAGGAACCGTATCAGCCAGGCACTGGTGGCTCACTCTTATAATTCTAACTACTCAGAAGGCCGAGATCAGAGGTCTGCCATAGAAGTATACCAGGGCAAAAAATCTGTGATACTTTTTATCTCCAATTAATCACAGAAGCAGCTGAAAGTATTGCTGGGCCCTAGTGGTAAAGCTCTAGACTTGAGCCAAAAGGAGATCAGGAACACCCAAGCCCAGAGTTCCAACCTTAGAACTAGCAAAAAACAAACAAATTTCCCAAATACAAAAAAAAAAAAACAAGATGTACCAAAGCAAAACGAAAAATAACTAAAACATCTTTATTTATTTATTTTTCTGTCGGTCATGGGGCCTGAGCTCTGGATCTGGGCACTGTCCCTCAGCTCTTTAGCTCATTGCTAGAGCCACAGCACCACTTTTGGCCTCTTTTTTCTGTTTACGTGGTGCTGCCAGGGCATGCAAGGCAAGCACTGTACCACTTCCACCTTCCCAGCACCATATCTTTACATTTTAACTTTTTTTAATTAGTCAAGCTTATGTAAACAAAATATTTTTAATAGAAAAAGTAAGATTGTTTTATTTGATGTTTCTAGTTTTTGGAATGTATACTTTTTTGTCAGTTGTGGGGCTTGAACACTGTACAAGATACAGCAAGGGCTTTAATTGATTTTTAAATAAAGCTTCAGAAGCAAAACTAGAAATGCTTCAGAGTATTTAGTATTTAAAAATATAGTAACTAAATGTTTTGGTTAAAAGTTTGTGAGTTTTTCCTAAGGCTGGACTTGTACTGAAGTGTTTCTGTCTATTACCTGATATCACAAACAAGTAAGCAATTACATTCTGCTTGTTTGGTGTTTTTTGTTTTTGTTTTTTCATTTTTTTTTTCCTGCTCAATCTGGCCTCAAACTGTGATTTTCCTGTCTCCATTGGGAATAGGTAGAAATTTTGAAGACAGTAGAAGTAAATGTCCTTAATAAGAGAGGCTAATGGTTTATTTTTTATTTTGGAGCAGTAGAGTAGATTCAAGGGCTTGCTTTTAGTGGACATTCCCTCTGCTCTCCTTCTCATCAATGGATATAGCTCCTTTTACAGGTTCTCAGGAACGAAACAAAGCTTCTGGTAAATTCTTGTCACCTTTTTATTTTGTTCTGAATAGGAAAGAGGATGGTGGAAGTAATAAAAAAGGACAGTGCCTTAGCAGAGAGATCTATTGGTCTCAGGCACAGAAGCTGAGACACAAGTAACTCCATTTAGAAACTTGTAATTTTTTAAGATCATTGATCTCCAGAAAATATTTAAAATTGTCAGCTTAAATCATACTTTTAACCATAGTATTGTTAGGATAAACCTAACCTTATAGAACTTTTATTGTATGTTAAAAATGACCTAACTTCTTTTTGTGACTGAACAGCAACAAATACATCTAGTACCAGTATTATTTCCAGCAACTTTTCAGCATCTAAATAAAAAATACTAAGTCTATAAAGCAATAACTCTTTTACTCTCTCTAGCGTTGAAATCTCTTTTGTATTTTTTCTATCCAAAAATTTTGGACATTACTGAATTTATATGTATGTGGGATCATAATTGCATAAACTTTTGTGTCTAAAATTCTACTCTGTGTGTGTGTGTGTGTGTGTGTGTGTGTGTGTGTGTGTGTGTTTGAACTTAAAGCCTTGTACTTGTGGGTGCTTTATCACCTGAACTCTTCTTTTTGTAAAGGATTATAGGCTTTGGGCTGGGAAGGTGGCTGAGTCGTAGAGTGCTTGCCTTGCATGCATGAGGCCCTTGGTTTGATTCCTTAGCATCATATAAGCGGAAAAAGCCAGAAGCAGTGCTGTGGCTCAAGTGGGAGAGCACCCAGGCCCAGAGTTCAGGCCCTATGACTGACACCCTCCACCCCAAAAGGAAAAAAAAAAAAGATTTCAGGCTTGAGCCATTAATGCCTATTTCAGATCTCAGTGTTTAAAGTATAGACATTGCTACTTGTTTGGATAAATATTTTAATTGTGTTTTAGAAATTGTGTAGTCTGTTACAGGATACTAAGGTAATATTTTGCTTACTATATAGGAAGAAAATGAAAGAAAAACCCAACTTAAAGACTATTCAGATAATGAATCTATATCTTCAGAAAAGTAAGTAAAATTTTGCATCTACTTAATATTTTCATGTGAAAGAGTTGGCTTTAATATTTTCTCTTTTTTTTTTTTTTTGAGTTCTGGGATGAAGAGAAAAGGACCTTTCAAAACCATAAAATCTGGAATCAACATTGACCTTTCTGATAATAAAAAGTAAGTTTCTCATTCCTAATACTATTTTGTGAACTGAAGCAGAGGACTAATCCTAGGATTAGAAATTGTCTAGCTTTCTTTTTTCCATCTCTAGTCATTTTCTCTAAAAATTGTAACATTTCAAAGTTATTTTCAAGAATTTTCAAATAGATAATTTTTTCCAAAGACTCGAATATCTATTTTCCAAATTTAAAAATAGAAATTGTTTTTCCTTTGCTGGAGTATAATGAACGTAAATGTTTTGGAATAATAATTTGTTTTAGGACTAGTACATTTTCACTTTTATTTTATTTTTTTTGGTTCTGGTCATGGGCCTGAACTCTAGGCTTGGGCGCTGTCTCTCAGCTCTTCACCTCAAGGTTAGTGCTTTACCACTTGAGCCACAGCACCACTTCCACCTTTTTTTTTCTGCTTATGTGGTGCTGAGGAATTGAACCCAGGGCCTCATGCATGCAAGGCAAGCACTCTACAACTGAACCACCTTCCCAGCTCATAGTACATTTTTATGAGGCACTAATATTAGTTATTATTTACCCAATGGTAAAACATTTAATGTATTTTGATTCTATCTCAGTTCTTTAGAGGACCTAGTTAACGTCAGTGTTTTCAGAGGTTTTTGTTCTCAACCTGTTTTTTGCTTTTTTTTCTCACAGATGGAAGTTGCAGTTACATGAACTGACTAAACTTCCTGCTTTTGTACGTGTTGTATCAGCAGGAAATCTTCTAAGCCATGTTGGTTATACCATATTGGGCATGAATACAGTTCAACTATATATGCAAGTTCCAGGAAGTAGAATACCAGGTGACTAAACTAATACATATTTTATATAGTTAAAGACCATACCTGATGTTTTTGCTTATTAACTAACACTCTACCAACTGAGCCACACCTCCAATCCCAGAGCCAACATGGTTTTAAGTTCTTTTTTATTGGTTGTAATATTTATAGCTATTTTAAAAAGTCATCTATGATTGTTTTGCCAGTATGGGGCCTGTGGCCATTTTTATTAGCTTTTCATTCAAGGCTAATGCTCTACATCTTGTGTCCCATTTCCACTACTGGCTTTTTGCCTGCTCAGGCTGGCTTCAAACATGATCCTTAATTGTCCACCTTCTGAGTGGCTAGTAAAACAGTGTGAGGCATCCATGTCATTTATAATGTGTTTTTTACTTATTAGATTTTCAAAGGGCAAAATGATCTGAAAATTTTTTTTTAATTTAATTTTATTTTATTTGTGAATATACTGTACAGAGGGGTTACAATTACATGGGCAGGATAATGCATACATTTCCTACCAAGCATTGCAGCCTCCTCCTTTGTTTACCCTTCACCTCCCTTCCCAGCCTATCTGAAAAAATTTAAACCAAGATAGAGACACTAAATCATTTTATAAGTGGATAAATTCATGACAATAAACTTTACTGCAATACAAGTTTTCTAAATTTTATCACTAAAATTAATTCAGAATGAACCTATATATCATGAACTGGATTTAACAAGATTCAACGATATCTAAAATATGTGATGCAATACCTAAAATACTTTCCTAAATGAATAACCACAGACATTGAGTATCTGATATTTTCATAATGATTGAAAGTAAAATTAAGCATACACAGTAAAATTTTTATCATTATAATCTAGTATGGGAGATGGCAGATTTAAAGGTTACCTCTTTGTGAATTCTATCTAAAATGTTTGGATATTATTCTTTGGTTATCATTAGTATAGTATTTCATATGTTTCCTATGAATCATTCCCTTAAGGAATGGTTTAGAAGAATGTGGCATATTATAGTTTGCTCAATGTATATAATGTGTTATTTATAACAATTCTATAATGGGCACATTTTGCCCCAGGTTTCTATTTTTAACTCTTAAAACTCCATACTATGGCAATATTATCCACTTAACCATAAGAGAAGTTTTATAAATGTTTATGTTAGTTATTGACATCAATTTGGGAAATTCAGTTACATTTAGAAAACTCATTATTGTATAATAATATTTATGAACATGTGAAGAGGTTTATGGAGGAGAAAGTGGGATTTAGCTATTGTCTATTTCCGTTTATGTATTATTCCCTATTCTACAGGTTATTTTTCAATTAGTCCTGAAAAGCCTCCAAATGTACATTTATAATGTGATTTGGGCTTTCACTTCATTTTACTTTTCAGGTCACCAAGAAAATAATAATTTCTGTTGTGTTAATATAAATATTGGTCCTGGTGATTGTGAATGGTTTGTTGTGCCTGAAGATTATTGGGGAGTTCTGAATGACTTCTGCGAAAAGTAAGTTTCTTAAAACTCTTAACTAATAATTGTAGAATAGTAGAATTGTAGAATATACTTGTAAGGAATGCTTTTTAAATACAATACCAGTCTTTACTTTTTGCTCCATCATAAGTTTTTATTTTATACTTGGCTTAAATAAAAATCTGAGACGTTTTCAGAAATTTTAAATTTGGTTCCAGTGTTTTTATATCGGTGCTTTATTACAAGAGCTCCTGCACACCTCAAGGGCTCAAGGTAGGAAAATGGTATGAAGGAGTGTGGAGAACTTGACCTGGCAGCCTCTCAGAAGTTCCAGTTCTAGGCCACTCCTGTTTATTCCTGGCTCAGAATCTAGTGTACTGGTTTCTCTCTCTCTCTCTTTTTTGGGCCCTCCTGCGCCTTGAACTCAAAGCCTCAGCACTTTCCCTGAGCTTCTTTTGCTCAAGGCTATTGCTCTAACACTTGAGCCACGGCACCACTTCCGGCCTTTTCTGTGTATGTGATACTGAGCAATCGAACCCAGGGCTTCATGCATGCTAGGAAAGCACTCTATCTCTAAGCCACATTTCCAATCCCTGGTTTCTTTCTTTAAAAAAATAAAACAAACAACAACAGCTGTAAAACTAAGTCTAAGCTGGGTGTCAGTGGCTCACACCTATAATCCTAGCTACTCAGGAAGCTGAGATCTGAGTGTCACTGTTCAAAGCCAGCCTGGGCAGGAAAGTCTGTGAGACTTTTTTCTCCAATTAACCACCACAAAACCACTCAAGTGGTAGAGCACTAGCCTTGAGCTGAAGAGCTGAGAGACAGTACCCAGGCCCAAAGTCAAGTACCATTACTTACAAAAAAAAACTGATTCTAAGAACAAAACAAAAGCTTTTTTTCTTACTTTTTTTTTAATTTAACCACATATATACTTTATTTATTTATTTATTTATTTTTATTTTTTTCTGTGGCAGGTGTCTTATTTTAATTTATTTTTATTTTTTATTTTTTGTTGTGAAAATACTGTACAGAGGGGTTACAATTACATGGGTAAGATAATGAGCACATTTCTTTATCAAGCATTGTAGCCTCCTCCTTTGTTTCCCCTTCCCATCCCTTCGTATCATCCCCGCCCCGCAAAGTTGTAAAGTTCATTTTTCAACATAACGACTTAAATTAGAAAAAAGAATTAGAGAATTCTTTTCTACAGTTTTTATTTAAATTCCTTTTCTACTTCCTGAGGTCATATTGTTTTTGCTTTCTAGTGTTACCAGTTGAAAAATCCTAGCAAAAAGTTTGATGTGTCCTTCCTGACATCCCTGGCTAAACACCAAATACATTACCAGAAAATTTTGAGTCACTAAATCACTTAAGTCCTCAAGTCTAGCAAGAGAATTCATGCAGCAGTTAACTATAATTTTGTAGAGAAGTTTATTTGCAAAGCAATATAACAGAGAACATTTGATATAAAAGATACAATAAATCTTAGTGACTATCATCTTTCCATCATTCTCTCCTCTATTATGATGATGATGATGATGATGATGATGATGATGATGATGAGGATGATTGTCGGTCATGGGGCCTGAATTCTGGGCCTGGGCACTGTCCTTCAGCTCTTCAGCTAAGGCTAGTGTTCTACCACTTGAGCCATAGCATCACTTCTGGCTTTTTTCTGCTTATGTGATGCTGAGGAACTAAACCCAGTGCCTAATGCATGTGAGGCAAGCACTCTACCACTGGGCCACCTTCCCAGCCCCCTTATTATAGTTTTGAAAAAAGCAAAATCTTGTCTTTTTGGTGTTTTGAAATACACAGTACATTATTGTTCTCTACAGTCTCACAGAAGTAACTTTTTTGTTTTGTTTTGTTCATTCTAAAACTATATTTGGTAAAAGAAATTTCCTCATTCTAAAGTAAAATTATTTTTTGTTTTTTTTGTTTTTTTTGTGTGTGTGTTTTGGTTGGTTCTGGGCCTGGGCCTGGGCCTGAGCTCAGCTGTCCCTGAGCTCTTCAACTCAAGGAAAGATCTCTATTACTTAAGCCATAACACTACTTCCAGTTTTCTGTTGGTTTATTGAAGATAAGAGTCTTACAGATTTTCCTACCCAGGCTGGCTTTGAACCTCCATTCTCAGATATCAGCCTCCTGAATATCTAGGATTATGGCATGAGTAATGGATGCCCTGCAGTAACTTGTACTTTAAATCTAAAACAATTTCATAAATATGCTTTATTTGGTAAAAACATTACTGTAGTATTGCTGAGGCTTGTCTGCAAAGTATGTGGAGTTCTGGAGGAAGAATGATAAAGGGAGTAAGTATGATCAGTATAATATTTTGATATGAGAATGATCTAGTTGTGATATCTGTCACTTATCTATTCCATTGATCTTCCGAGTTGATTTAACTACTCAGGGGAGCTAGGCAGATATCTACTTCTTCCCTAACTGCTACCTGTATCCTGTAAAGCCTTAATCTATGTCAGTGAGAACAATCATCCATCAAGGGTACATGAGTAGTCTCTACTAGAATCTCCAAGCAAGCTCTCAAGATGTTTTACATACATAAGTGGGAATGTTAATAAGAAATACTCTTGGACAGTATTTGATGGTAATAAAGTTTTCCATAGTAAAAAGAATAAAAGGATACTCTTTCTAAAATTCTTCATTTACTAGCAAAAACAAAAAAAAAAGAATTTTTTGTGTGAAGTTTAAAATTTAGCAATCGGCCAAGCTGCTATTTCTAGCTATTCAGAAGATTGAGATCTGACATTTGAAGCCAGATCAGGAAGAAAGTCAGTCAGACTCTTAACTTTCAATTGACTTGTCACCTGAAGTTGAGTGTTAACCTTGAAGCTAAAAGGCTGAGGGACAACTCCCAGGCCCTGAGTTCAATCCCCCAAATTGGCATCAAAAAATAAATAAGCAAATTGCAATAACATGTTAATCAGAAACTGGTAACTTAAACAGCAGAAAAAAAATGATCATCTAAGAAATCCTTTATGTGCTACAGAAAAACATTATTTGTGGAAGTAATGAGAATATGTATTGTACTATTTGTTATAATTGATTAGTGATTTTGCTGATTTATTTTCAGTAGAAACTATTTTGTACCATGATTTTGCTTTCTTCCTTTTCAGACAGTGTATAAAGAATCCTTCAATGAAAGTTTGTAAATACAAGTAATAATTAGAAACTGTTTGAACTTGGAAGTAATAAAACTACCAACTTAATTCATTTGCCTTTTGTGGAAATGTTAGTGTTTTTTCTTTTTGTTTGCCAGTCATGGGGCTTGAACTCTGGGCCTGTGCACTCTTCAGCTCTTCAGCTCAAGGCAAGTGCTCTCAGTTGAGCCACAGTGCCACTTCCAGGTTTTCTGGTGGTTTATTGGAGATAATAGTCTTATGGACTTTGCTACCCCAGCTGGCTTTAAACCGTGATCCTCACATCTCATCCTTCTGAGTAGCTAGGATTACAGGTGTGAGTTACCAGCACCCAGTTAAAGAAAATACTCAATCCTATCTGCCATATTTGGCTTTATTTCTTAAAATTTTTGTTCCTTATTGATGGAATTGATTGACTATGTATTTAAGTGTAACTTGAAGGTTTTAATTTCAGACTTTTGAGGCTTTAATTCATGTATTTGACTCACAGTAGACACTATACAGCTTGAGTTAATTGTAGATGGAGACACTCAGACTTTTCTATTTAGGCAGGCTTCAGCCCTGATCCTTCAGGTGTCATTCTGGTGACTAGATAGGGTTATATGTGTGAGAAAGTAACTTTGATTAAATCAGCTGATGATAGTTACAGTTCATTGTGCTGAGAATTGATCCTTTTACACTGTGTTTCTCACTTTTAGAAACAGATATTACTGCAGTAATTTTGTGAATCAAAATTTTAGTTAAAAATGGTATTTTAAATTTTTCGAGGTAACCTTCTTACATTTGATTATACATTTAAAACATAGTCTTTATGATTATTCTTTTTTTTTCTTTTCCAGAAATAATTTAAATTTCCTAATGAGTTCTTGGTGGCCTAACCTGGAAGACCTGTATCAAGCAAATGTTCCTGTGTATAGATTTATTCAGCGACCTGGAGATTTGGTCTGGATAAATGCTGGCACTGTGCATTGGGTTCAGGCTATTGGATGGTGTAACAACATTGCGTGGAATGTTGGTCCACTCACAGGTATTTAAAATAATACAACAGATTTTATATTTTTAGAGATTATTTTTAATGGATATTACTTTTTATTGGGAAACAATTCACTAAAACAATTTAAAATAATACAACAGATTTTATATTTTTAGAGATTATTTTTAATGGATATTACTTTTTATTGGGAAACAATTCACTAAAAGGGGATTTCTTGATATTACCAATTCAAGAACAAATATCAACAAGCAATAAATTTATTTTTCAGTAGACATAGAATGTATACTCTCAATTTTTTAGTGTATTAACATTTAGAGTTCTATACTTTCTATCTGGAATAAGGTACTTTTTTTGGGGGGGGCGGAGATTGGTCGTGGGGCTTGAACTCTGGGCTTAGGCACTGTCCCTGAGCTCTTCAGCTCAAGGCTAGTGCTCTACAGCTTGAGCCACAGTGCCACTTCCGTATACTTTCTATCTTTCTAAAAATATTTATTTATGAAAGAATACCTAAGTACATAGTTTTAATTTTGAGTAAGTTGGTTTTGTTTTTTATTTTTTTGGGTGGTACTAGAAAATTAGCAGCTTAAACTTGCTTAGCTTGCTTTCTCAATGGCCTTTATTATCTGAGCTATGCATCCAATCCTGCTTTTTGCACTTTTTTTTTGTCTTTTATGATTTGTGTTGGTACTATGACTTGAACTCAGAACCTAAGTTCTGACCTTTAGCCTTTCACTCAAGGCTGGTGTTCTACCACTTGAGCCATAGATTTGCTCCCTGCTTTTTGCTAATTAATTGTAGAAAAGAGTCTTATGAACTTGCTTGCCCAGGCTAGCTTCAAATTGAGATCCTCACATCCCAGTCTCCTGAATAGCCAGGGTTATAGACATTATCCCATTTCCCAGTTCTTTAGTTATGTTAGACATGGATTTTTATTGAACAGACTACATTCAAATCTCTATCCTTTGTATCTTAACATTTGTTTAGCTTGGATTATAAATGTGAGTCACTGGCTCAAGGCTTGCTTGTTTTTAACTTTTTAACATCTCACTTTACCCACTATAAAATGTGGAGAGGGAATCGAGGGAATCAAGGAAACTTCAGAAGGAAATGTAATACATTCTGTAAAAACAGCCTTACATACTATATTTTTTATACAGTAGACTTTTTGAGAATTGTGTTGAACTTAAAATTTGAGATGTAATATTTAGGATCCAACATGACCATAACAGGGGACCAGGCAGAGAAAGGTAGGAGAGATTTTAAGGTTTTTTTTTTAGAGGGGCCATATTTCCCCTAGGAAAGGGAGCAATATGGCATCTGCCCCTATTCAGGTGGGTAGCTCTAGAGGGGTAGCATGCACAAGTATGTCTGGGAAGAAGAGAGGGAGTAGCCAGCTCTATGGCAGGGACCTCTAGGGCAGAGAGGAGCTCAGGTCTGGGTGAAGCTGAGGACTTTATATGGGGATAATACTAACAGTAATAACTTGCATATCTTCATATTTTGATACTTTATAACTGTTGCTTCCCTCCTTCCCCCCCCCCCCTCCGCCCCCAGCCTGTCAGTATAAACTGGCTGTAGAACGCTATGAATGGAACAAATTGCAAAATGTGAAGTCTGTAGTACCTATGGTTCATCTTTCCTGGAATATGGCACGAAATATCAAAGTTTCGGATCCCAAGCTTTTTGAAATGGTTAAGTAAGTACTTTATTTTTTGCTGGTCCTGGGACTTAAACTCAGTGCTTGGTTGCTGTCTCTGAACCTTTTTGTGCCCAAGGATAGTGCTCTACTATACAAGTCACAGCACCACTTCTGGGTTTTTTTAAGTAGTTTTTAGAGGTAAGAGTCTCATGTACTTCCTATCCAGGCTGCCTCAGAACTATGATCCTCAGATCTAAGCCTCCTGAGTAGCTAAGTTTATAGGCATGAGCTACCAGCACCCAACCTGCTGTCGTCCCTCTTCTCTGAGGCAACAATAGTGTGAACTGTTTAGTATATTTACCCCTAAGGAATTAGGTTGATGAAAGGTAAGAAAATAATTTAGAGGTTTTGGAGCTTTTTAAAATTATGTTTCTAAGTAGTTACACATAATTAAGGAAGAACAAAGATACTTATGATTATGAAAAATTCACACATTCATATTTTTTCCTAAATGCTACTAATATATACTATTCAAGATATTTTATTGATTACAACTAAGTTGTAGAAAGGCTAAATGTCCTACAATACTACACCAAGAAAATGTTTGGATATCTATACAAAAAATTGAAATTGGACCCCTATCTCTTATTCTGTATCGAATTCAATTTTGCTAACCAGAGCTATTAATGTAAAAGCAGAAATCACTACAGGAAGGACTAGGAAAAACATCAGAACTTATTAACATAGATAAGTTTTATTTTATTTATTTATTTATTTAGGGTCCGGTTGTGGGGCTTGAACTCTGGGCCTGGGCGCTGTCCCTCAGCTCTTCGGCTCAAGGCTAGTGCTCTACCACTTGAGTCACAGCACCACTTCCAGCTTTTTTCTTTTTGCTTATGTGGTGCTGAGGAATCAAACCCAGGACCTCAGACATGCAAGGCAAGCGCTCCACCACTGAGCAACCTTCCCAGCCCCAATAAGTTTTATTTTTGAACCAGAAATAGAAAAAGATAGGAATGAACAGAAAATAAATAGCAAAACAATATATTCTGAATATAACTCCCAAATATTTTAAAGCATCTCTTCTCTACATCCTTTGTGTTGGTCTGGTTGTTACTTTTAAAACTTTTCTGATGCTTGTCAAATGACTACTTAAAATATTTCAATTATAAACTTTATTTAAAAACACATTTTTGAACTGTACAGATGAATTGCTTCAAAGCCTAATTTTGCCTATTTGAACCGAAATTTCTTTCATCATAATGTTATGATATATGACTGTCTCTAGTAGTTTTAAAATTGTATTTTTGTTATTTTTATAAAAATTTGATTATGTTAAAACATGATTTTTACCATTTAAGTAAAGTTTTAGATTAAAAAACATTATTGGTTGGCTGACACATAAAGTAAATGTGAGCCAGATAACTAATGCCAACCTTCATTAGTACACTATAGAGGCAAAGATTCAAATACTTAGAAAAATTAGAAAATTTTTAAATTGTTCTTAAAAGTCTGCTGACTTACCTAGGATTTTCTAGGTAAGTTAGGAAATTAAGCTTAAGAGGGATTCCATTCAATATCCTTGAAAATTGCTACTAATTTTTCTTTGGTGAAATTACTATGAGAACTGCTGTCATGAATTTGGAAACAAATAAGAATTCCATGATGAAGTTAACAAGATGCAAGAATGGAGAATATGCATGTAAAAGATACTGTTCTGGAAATGAAATTGATAGGGAGACTAGAGATTTCTATTCAAGGGAACAAAAGCTGGAATCATAATACAGCATTATTAATGAAGCCAATTAAAGGCTATAAAAGTGGTATTCTCATAACTCATGGAAAGATAGGTGAATTTTGAAGAATTGAAGTAACTTGTTTTATAGTTAAAAATAAAATAGTGACTGGTTGCAGTTTTGCCATACCAAATATACTTTCATGCATAGCAAATTAACTTATAACTTAATACTGAATATTAGTCAGGTAGTGATGTACAAAAATGTTTTCTGTCTGTATTCTAGCCTCATTATGTTGTTAACCTAAATTCCACAAATATCAAGAGGATTACATCTCATACGAGGGCTTTATTTTTATCTTTGCTTTCCTACAAAAGTTACTCTCTGTGTTTTATTTTATTTTATTTATTTTTAAAATAAGTTTCTTGTTGTGAAAATACTGTACAGATGGGTTACAGTTACATGAGCAAGGTAATGAGTACATTTATCCAGCATTGTTGCTTCCTCCTTTTTTCTCCCTACCATCCCATCACTCCCATCCCCCCTCCCCTCCAATCTTTTGTGTGTGAAAATACCGTAAGAGGGATTACATGAGCAAGGCAATGAGTACATTTCTTATCAAGTATTGTTTCCTCCTTCGTTTTCCCTTCCCATGCCTTTCCACTCCCCACTCTCCTCCCTCTGCCCCCCACCCCCACCCCCAAGCGCCCTGCCAAAGTTGTAAACCTCGTTTTTCTTTTTTTCTTTTTTTTGGGGGGTCCGGTCGTGGGGCCTGAACTCTAGGCCTGGGCACAGTCCCTCAGCTCTTCAGCTCAAGGCTAGTGCTCTACCACTTGAGCCACAGCACCACTTCCGGCTTTTTTCTTTTTTGCTTACGTGGTGCTGAGGAATCGAACCCAGGGCCTCAAGCATGCTCGTTTTCGACATAACGTCTTGTACATCTCATTGTTGCAATAGGTCCACCTGCATCCCTATTTAAACAATTTGTTTTTTCCCTTCCCCTCCACAAATTATACAAACATTGCATACAATGAAAACAGGGGTTATAAAAATATGTTAGAAACAATAGCAAGAAAGAAAAACTATTTGAACCCCTTATCTTGGGGTTCATTTCGCCTAACATTAACTTATCCGACCGTTTCTGCTTGTCTCAGATCTGTGTCTTATTTTAAAGTAAAGCAAGAGCAGAATGTGTGCAGGGTAACAGTGACTCACACCTGTAATCCTACCTGAGGCTGAGATTTGAATCAGAGTTCAAAGCTAGTCAGAGTATCTGTGAGACATTTACCTCCAATTAACCACCAAAAAGCATTGATTAGAATTGTGAATCAAGTAATAATGTGCCAATCTTGAACATATACACACAATCTTGGCATATACACACAAAAAAATAATTAAATGAATGACAACCTTAAAAAATAGCACTTTTGTTTGCTAAATTATTTCTATATTTATTGCCTTTATAAATTTGTTTGTGATGTTCTTTTTTCCTAGATAAATATTTCCCAATTTTTGCTGGGCCCAGGTGGCTCACGCCTGCTTATAATCCTAGCTGCTCAGGAGGCTGAGATCTGAGGATCATGGTTCAAAGCCAGCCCAGGCAGGAAAGTCCATGAGACTCTTATCTCCATTAAAGCACTAGAAAACTGGAAGTGGTGCTGTGGCTCAAGCAGTAGAGTCCTCGTCTTGAGCTGAAGAGCTGAGGGATAGCACCCTGGTCCTGCGTCAAGCCCCACAGCTGACAAAAAAAAGTATTTCCCATTGTCCATTCCTGATAACATTTAAACTGTAAACTTTAAAAAATGAAGTCTGATTTCTACTATTTATTAGAAGGCAATTTCCTTCTTACTTATTTCTATTTTTTTCAAGGCCTGACACTGTTCTGCTGGCTGCTAAAGTAGAAATCATAGTTCTTCTTTTCTGGACATATATTTTTTTTTTTAATTTTTTTTTTTTTTTGCTTTTGGTTTTGTTGTTTTGTGTGTGTCTGTGTGTGTCTGTGTGTGTCTGTATATGTGTGTCTGTGCCAGTCTTGGGACTTTAATTCAGGTCCTGAGTGCTGTCTCTGAGCTCTTTGCTCAAGGCTAGTGTTTGACCACTTCATACAGGTACACCTTGAGCCTTTTTTGGGTGCTTATGTGGAGATAAGAATCTTGTAGACTTTCTTGCCCAAGCTGACTTCAAATCTCAATTCTCAGATGTTATCCTCCTAACTAGCTAAGATTATAGGTATGAGCCACTAATGCCCAGAAGAGTTGATTGTTTTATTAATTTATTTTATTATTATAAAGATGATGTATTAAGGAGATGGACAGTGGAATTGAAATTACATGAGTCAGATGTTAAGAACATACCCTTTCATATGGCGTCTTTTGTTCCCTCTCTCCCAGACCCTCCCTTCCCATCTCCACCATAAATTGTATAGTTCACTTTTATGTGTCCAGTGAGATTCATTGCTGTACTTTTCCACCCTTTTTCACTTGAGTTCTCCTTGAGCATCCTCCTTCAGCCCACCAGAAGATATATATGTGAGTATATCATACATAAGGAAAAGAAGACAAAAATCATCAAAAACTTAAAACTAAAATAAAAGAAGAAAAGTTTTTGTTTCCATATCTTGGAAGACTGGTTATTTTTTAGATAAATGTTATTTCCTTCCCTACTCAGGCAGGAAGCAAGAAACTGACAGTCAAACACTCATGTTTGTGTTTGTGGCTATTCAGGAGGCCGAGATCTGAGGGTTGTGATTTGAAGCCAGATCAAGCAGGAAAGCCCACAAAACTATCCAATATCTACCCCCTAAAAAAGTGGAGATGTGGCATACACATGCACATGTGCTCGCGCACATGCACACACACACACACACAAATTGGCTCTAAACTAGTTCAGTAAAATCTATGAAAATAATTGTGAAAATAGGATGAACATTAGAAATGGAAGTTTGTTGGTAGAACATTATTAAATAATATTGATCATATAGAACTGTCTTTTTTTTCATCCTAAAATTTCAGTTAACATACCTAGGTGTTTTTACTCCCAAGAATCTCATCTTCATAGAAGAAAAAATAGAAGCATTTACAAACAGGAAATTCCAAAGAAATGAAAAACAGTTTAAAACTACCTGGGTGTAGAAATCTCTTCCTGTAGTAACATTACTGGCACTTCATTTTCCACTTGGAAACATAATTGATGTCATAAAAATGAAAATTGTAGAACCAGGTTTTTTGTTATCTTGACTCTAATGCAAGACTTGGGTTACATGGACTATGTCTCACAGTAAAACAAAAATTGTAGCATTTTACTTTTAGTGAAATATTATACATTT